ATTGGCTAAGTTCCACAAGTCATCACTAAGATATACTTAATGAAGAAATTGTATAATCTTTGATATGTAGATGGAGAATCTATGGAGATTTTTCTTAGAGATATTTTTGATCTTAGGGATCAATTTATTTTAGTCAATGGTAAAATAAGCAAACAAAGTATGACATTTTTTATACTTACCGCATTACTAGAAACTTAGAATGTATTGTTTAGTCAATTGCATTGAAAAAAAGAGAAGAGATTATGGAAGAGATACTGTAATCTATTCTTTTTGAGGAGGAGTTACAAAAGAAAGAAAAGACTAATTCTCCATTTTTTGCTTTAGTAGTGCATGCAAGAAGAAAATAAGTCCCTAAGAAGCACCATCTACAATAAAAACAAAAACCTAAGATTGATAAATTTAAAAGTACTTATAAGACTTGTAGTAATAAAAGACATTAGTGAGGTGATATAGAATGTCTTAAAACAAATAGCAATGATATAGTAAATGATAGAGTTGTTGTTATTCTTTTAACTCAAAAAGCATCATTGTCTCAATTACAATATTATGTCCACATTGTTAGTGCAATAGATGTACACATCCAAGGAGATAAGAATAAAATTTTCAACTTCAATGAAAATATGATTATTCAACTTGAAGGCTACAATTGTCGCATTAGCAAATCACAAGGCTTAGGTGAGATGCATCTCACACTTTTAGATCTTATAGAAAAAATATATTCATGTAGTTGTGAAGGATATCCATTGGATTCCTAGAGCACACAATACTTTATTATCAATTGCAACTTTATGCAAGAAAGGTTGCAAATTCAACTTGGATGTCAATGGAGTTGATTAAATTCTACCTCCAAATAACTTACTTACACAAGGCACACTAGCTAGTAAAGCTTATCTTATGCCTTGTGAAATTGAAGAAGTTGCTACAATTTTGACTTTATCTATTTCCAATTGTACATTTATTGAATGACATTAGGTATTAGCACATGCTTCAATGCATATATTATAGGAGGCAAAGTACATAAATTATATTGAAAGATTAGAGATCAAGGGAAAAAAGAATAAAATACCAATTTGTGAGTCATGCATTTGTTGGCAAGGCCCATAGATAATCTTTCTCACATAAGTATAAGTATGCCAATGATATTTTGGATGTGATAATATTTGACCTTGATTATTCAAATACAACTAGCTTTGATGGTACTAAATGGCTAGCTGTATGAATTGATGAATATTTTGGCTATTGTAGCCTTACATTTCTTCAAACTAAGGACCAAGTACATATTGCTTATAAGACTTGGGAAGCAGAGGCATAAAAAAGAATTAGAAGAAAAATAAAAACGTTTCTCACTGATGAAGGCATTGAATTCTTGAATAATAAGTTTAATTCTCATTTCAAAGCTAAAGGCATTGAATTCTTAAATAATAATTTTGATTCCTGTTTCAAAGCTAAAGGCATTTGGTATATGACCACTCTTATATATACACATAAAATTGTTGGTATGGTAGAGCATATGATACAGACTATTTTTGAAGAAATATGAACACTTTTAAATAATGCTAAGCTAGATTATTAATATTGGGCATTTACAACAAAATTTATAACTTGGACTTGTAATTACCTTTTACTTGCAAGACTCAATGGCAAGATACCACACAAAGTTTTTACAGTAAAAAATCTTCATTTTAAAATGCTCATTACTTTGATTTTCCTATTTGGTATTACATATCAAAGAAAGAACATGAAAAACTCGATGCAAAGGCAAGGTGGGATGTTTTTGTTGGATATTCAAAAGTAGCAAAAAGGTATGAAATTTTTCTACCTAAAATAAAAAAGATGATTATTAGTTGACATGTGATTTTTCTTGATAATAAAGATAAGTTATCTGAAGAACTATTAACCTTTCAAGAAAAAATTGGAGTAGAGATGGATGATAGGAACAATCTTCATTTGTTAGATTTTCAGCATCCAAGAGAATTAGAAATATTCCAATCTCAAGTCTCAAGATTACACATGCAAGACAGATTATATAGAAAAATAATTGAAGATGAAGTAAATCTTATACTAATAAATGCAATGGAATTCCATCAATTAGAAGTTGAAGCAACTACTCAAGCTTTACCACCAAAACGTTGTTATGTAAGTGGCATTGATCTAGCAAATATTATAAGTGGCAATAGGATATATTGCATGTCTTGAAAAAAAGACAATAATTTTATTTGAGGAGATTATGACTTGATAATTGAAATGGTAGATGTAGTTCATGTTGATTAATATATAGAAGTACAGATTGTTGTGCAAGCCATGAATTCACCTTTTTGCGTAGAGTGGAGTTGTACCATAAAGGAAGAGTTCAATTCTGTGAAAGATCATGGTGTACGGGAATTTTTACTTATCTAATGGTAAGAAGGCTGTAGATTCAAAATAGATTTTAAAGAAAAAACTTGCTAGCAATGGCTGTATTGAATGTTTTAAAGTACAATTGGTTGCAAAAGATTTTATTCAATAGAAAGGTCTTGATTATTAAGAAACTTTTGTACTAGTTGCTCGCCTTCCAATAATTTGTATGTTTATTGCAATTATTGCTACCTTTAATTGAAATATATTACAATTTGATGTTGTTTCAACTTATCTAAATGGTGAACTTAAAGAGAAGAACATTTAAATTAAGATTTCAAAAGGTTTGGAAGTTCCATCAAAGCACAAAGGCAACGTGTTGTAATTGCTAAAAAATTTATATGATTTGAAGCAATATGGATGTGGTGTCAAGGACATAAACTGAAAGAAGATGCACAAACCTCGGAAGTTTGTATAAAAAAAAAAGTAAAAAAATAGAAATAAAGAAGTGTATATATTAAAAGGAAATTGAAATAGTTATTGCCAAAAGAAAAAGACACTAGAGACTCTTGAAACTAGACTAGAAACAAGAAAGAAGTTGACAAGTGTGAAAAGGGCTTCATTCTTGCATCTATATATACTATCTAACTTGGAGCTACACGGCATTGTTCTATAGGACCTCTAATATGTGTTGACTTTGGAGGACACATGCTTTAGCTTAAAAGGTTAGTTTTCTATGTATGCGCCACATGATTAACTTGTTCTTCAAGTTACCAACATGTATGGGACACGGCTAACTTATTGACCACATTTCTAATCTAAAAAGTCAATTATAGACACCTATAAAGTCAAAGTAGTATCTATAAAGCTTCTAAAAAGCTATTATAGAAGATATTATAAAATTAACCTATTTTCACCTACTTTTATCTAATCATATAGGTAGTTATTGGTTTACATATGTATGTTCGTGATATGTGGATGGAACAAGAGTTTGGATATTTCTATTGAATCTTGGTTGGGAGTGCTTAGAATTAGATCCTTGTTTATATACAATGTACATTGAAGGGCTAGTTCTTATACTAATTATTTATATTGATGATGTACTTACTGGTGGTAAGAACTTTGAGATCCTTGTGAAATACAAGGATGAATTGCAAAAGTGCTATAAGATGAAAGATCTTGGTGAATCTAATGATTTTCTTTGTATTGATTTTTTGTAAGATAAAAAAAATAATATCATTAATCTGAGCCAAGTAATATCAAGTATATTTGTTGAAAATTGGAAGAATTTGGAATGAAAGATGCAAAGTCAATTGCTACACCAATAGTACAAGGTCATATCACTAAACATGAGAATGATGACCTTTTGGATACAGAAGATGTCAAACTTTATCAAAAGAATTTAGGTTCATTATTGTATCTTGTAAATGGTATAAGGTATGACATTGTATTTGCTTATCAATATTTTGCTCCATATATGGCACATCCATATATTTCACATTGGTAAGGAATAAAACAAATATTTCATTACTTACAAAGAACAAAACATTCAGTATTGCAATATGGTGGAAAAGAAGCAAATTTGCAACTTGTAGGCTACAGTGATATAGATGGGGCAGGTTGTATAGGGATGCGCTGTTTAGTTGGTGGTTATGGATTTATATTGGAAGGAACAATTATTACTTTGTCAAGTAAGAAACAATCTTTAATTTTTGTCTTGTCAATAAAGGCAAAGTATGCAACTTTGACTCCTATAGCAAGAGAGACTTTGTAGCTTTGTAAAGTACATAGGGATTATGACATTTCTAAGCCAAAAAGGATTCTCATTTATGAAGATAACTAGAATGCCATTGCTATTGCCAAAAATCCAGCTCACCATGGCTGTACAAAGCATTGGAATATAGAACACTATTTTATTAGGTAATGTGTGAAAAAATGACAAATTAGTTTAGAATATTGTCCCATGGAGCAAATGGCTGCAGATATTTTCACAAAACCTCTTCCTAGAAATAAATTTCTAGCTTTCAAGGCTATGTTAGGTCTTGTTTCAGCAGAGAATTAAGTCTTGTTTTGGTAGAGAATTAAGTCCCACTTTTAGAGGAGTGTTGAACGTGTTGAATGTCACATATTATGTGCACCAAAAGCTGTGACTTAACCAATTCTTAACTAAGACACTGGAAGTGTCCTTCCTTGGCTTTCTGCAGATTTAGTTTGCTACAAATGGTATTCTTCGTTTTTCATAACTTATCCTATTTTAGTAAAACAAATGATCACTTCCTTTTGCAAATTCTAACCCTGCGACAACCACGGCGCTACACAGAATGCTCAAGACAGGCAAACTTCATCGGTCCTCAGTGCAATCCTGACAAATACTGACTGAAACAAGTGACAAAGCACCGATCCAAACATACAAATTACGCACAAGAACTTGGTAGACTATGTAGACCTGGTCTAATATGCCTAATCTGCAATCAAAGCAAACAAACGACATTCCAGTGCAGTGATCACACTCCAGCGCAATCTCAGATGTACCGACAAAAATCACTGTAACCCAAATAAGCGCTGCGAGCATTAATTTACGATTATGAGTCCACCCTGCAAACTATGAGTACCAGGTAATGATTAGAGACCAGAAAAGTAGGACTGGTCTTACAAAAGCATAATTCTATTCAACAACAGTTCTGTTCGAGTACAAATTTCAGCAGACATGGCTAAAGCCACCAGTATGCTTTAGATTGTAAATCGGTGGTCAACTGCTTGATCTCATTTATTGCGTTTGCTTGTATGGAAGACTCGCCTTTTTCTATAATGTAACATGGGTTTTTTCTTGTAAATTTCAACAATAATCAATAATTTCTGGTGAACCTTTCGATGAGTGGCTCTGGATCGCAAGGTCGACGACAAACCGAACTCATGATTCTCCGCTAGCCCCCTCTGCGATCTTTATTTGACTACAAACTCGTGTACTAACGTGGTAAATCCTTGTAAAATCAGTTCCAGTGGAGATAGCCATAGATTAGCATGTTATGAAATCGAACCCTCCAGATTTACAAGGGACTCTGGCCCAGCCGGATTCACGTGGGTCTGAAGCATTCTGTCAAGGAAACTTGTGATGTCGGCTTTTCTCTACTGTCGGATAGTCACGCAGGCTTCTCTTCCACATCTGCCAGTGAACACCTCCCATATCCAATTTGCATCAGCAATCTCTGTCTGAATAAATAGGACTGCAAAAATAATTACAAAAATTACAGAGAGTTGAAGAGGTTTTTTACATGGGTATGCTCCACTAGCGGAATGTAGCAACCAGAGTCACTGCCTCCCAATGCCAGACTTCCACCACAGCTTGACATCTTCGTTTTTACAGCCTGCTTGGCGCTTGACTGTTGAGTGAATTCAAACTTGTATAAGTCAAAATATTGCGGAAACTCAAACAAGGTGGCTGTCGTTCTTATCTGAAGAGGAGTGTTGAATGGCGTTACAAGGGAGAGCTTCAATGGATTAGCTTGATGGTCTTTTTTGCCAGCCTGTTCAATCACAAGCTTTCGCTCTTGCTCCGGGGAAAAAAGAACCTTCATCAGCTTGTCGAATGCCCTCTTCACGTTGTTTGCTGCGTAAGTGCTGGCATAGCTGTCCTTTAAGAATTTCCTCATCCCTTTGCAAACTTTCATGCTTTTAGATTTTCTAGTTCATTAGATCACCAATTTCAACTCGCTTGCTTCTGTTTTTTCTACCTCCACTCAGGTCAGTAGGATCTTTACTACATCTACAAAATCTGCCACCCTTACATGCATAGACTGTTCTTAATCTCGTCAAGCTCAGATTTTAATATATCGATTACTTTTCAATCCTCAGTTAAGGAAGGTTAAAGTAGTTAACAAATAGATGCAAAAAGAAGCATTGGTTGTGGAGCCTTATTTTTGTGATGCAACTTGGGTATTAGCTATAATCCATATACTATTGTTATCATTATGTGCAATTCTAACTTGCTTGTTGAAAATTTGTATACAAGTTTGAGATACAATTACTATAAGAAAACTACTTGCAATTGTAATTTAGTTGAACTACTCTTTGACTATTACTTAAAACATTCATTGGTTCAGTGTATACCTGTACGTTTTTAAAACTTTTAGGTTAGTTCAATTGCATTAGAGTGATAATAATTCAATATAAAAATAAATTTTCCTAATAAAATTTCATGTAATAATTTTTATTGTAATAATAGCATATATATTCTAAATCATAAAAATTCTGTTAAATATATAGTAGCCATAAGTTTAAAAATTTGATTTATCCTACAAATCAGTTTAAAGATTTCAAAAACATGATACATCTTTTAAAAAGGACTCTGAAAGTTAAAATCCACAACAGTAGCTAATATTGATTCACAGTTATACCAAATATATATATATATATATATATATATATATAAAAATATATTATCAAAATGTCAAATATTCAAAATTATCATATTTTAATTAATCACACAATTTTGTTCAATACCTTTCAATCACCAAAAGTGCAAGTAATAATCCAAATTCTCAAAACACATGAACAAAAAAAAATCTTCTTTTGCATGTCCCAACAAGAATTTAAATAAAGTAATTTATAAGAAATAATATAACAACAACTTCTAGGGAATGCTCCACCAAAATATACTCTAGGTACCATATCGTAACCATCTTCACTTGTTACAATCCAAACTTGATAAAGAAACCAAATTGTTTCCAATGAAGACCAACCAAAACAACAAATCTCTATAACCTTTCTCAAAGTTACAACTTACCATTCAAATCCCCAATCTTTCTTAAAAAACTAAAAGGAAGAAAATTGAAATTCATGAATTTTTTTACGATTGTGCACATAAAACCCAAGAACTCCAATTGTTGGCCACGAATTCACTCTCAAACTAACAAGTAACTGGGAGAAACTGAAAGGGCAAAGGAAAGAGGGCACACACACTGACACCCATGAGATCATTCCACTAAGATATAGACCCTGCACGGGTATGCTACTTCTATATATACCCTTTTCGTCTCAGGGTATCAAATCCGCCCGTGCACTAGTTCGAAAGCTTCTTCGAAGTTTAATTAACGGGGCGGGGGCTGTGTGCTGCCATGACCCACAACGCACCTGTCCACGCATCGCCTCCATCGTCAAGCATCAATTGCGAGTGAATTGCGATGCCATTGCCTTCCACGAATTCGCCATTCCGACACGTAGTGATGCACCGCGTTTCAGGTGGGTCGTGGTCGGAGAATCATAGCGAGCCCTTACCTTTCCCACAAGCCTTGAACTCTCCACAATTCATTCACAGGTCTGTGTTTCAGGGGTTCGTGTTGGGGGCCAATTGGGTTCGACGTTGGGGACGTCCCTCGGAGTGTGTTGATGGCTGATTCGGAGCCGTTTTATTCAATTGGCGATGTCAGTTCTTTTTCTTTTTCTTTTTCTTTCCCTTGCGCTGTGTTGGACCCTCGTGGAATTAAACCCTAGGATTGTGGGATCATTTCGAGGTGGGTTCTAAAGGAGACTAACTCTTGTTTCTCTCGGTTTTCGAGATTTTTCGTGATGGATAGGTTGCAGATTCTGCAGGTGCGGATTTCATGAAAACTCTGTAGAGCTTTCTATTGATTGGGATTTTGCAGTAATACTGGCAAACAGTGGAATTAATTAGTAAGAGAGAGGCTGAGCTAGTCGTGACGCTTCGGAGGCCTTGAAATCTGGCCTATTTTGATCTGAATTTTGAGGACCATCTGTCGGTTGCCGCTTGCAGCTGTGGGGTTGTCGTTTAGTCTCGTAGAGTGGAGAATTCCGCTGATCGTACTTGATCGAATTTAGTTTCATCGGGGTAACGGTATGGGGGCTTGCGTATCGTGCGGGCATGATCCTGGCCTCGAGAAACCTAAACCACCTCAGCAGAGCGCACACCGATCCAGCAGTGATTGCAACGGCGATGTTTCGAAGTTTGGTCCCCGGAATGCACAGAAACGACCATTGTTAGCGCCTCATCCTCTTGCGAATCCGAAGAACTTGTGCTTCGCTTACAAAAATCAGATAGTGTCTACGGTTGTCAGCGAGACCACTGTGCTCGAGGATCTGAACTTGTTTCTGCTTTCCTCTTTTGGAATTTCAGACTCCACGTACGTAGTGTCCGGAATTCTTGTCACAGTCACTGGCCCTCTAATGCCATTCTTCATGTTACCGTACTTGCATCCCAACAAGTCAGACAATCCGTATCCCATTGTGGTCGCACTTATCAAGGATTTTTCAATTGGCAACTGGGGATGTGCTCCCGATGAGCAAGAGCAAAATGAAGCGACACTGGAATGGGCGGAAATTGAAGAATGTATGAAATCATGTGGGGAGGATGATGAGCAGCTGTATTCGTCTTCAGCCTCAGCGTTGCTGGCAGCTCAATTCTACGGTCTTCTTCGTCGGTATGGGTATGTTCGTTTGCGTTTGCCCCCCTGTTCTCCCATTCTTGACATCTTCCAATGCGCCACCGCATCAGCTCGTGGCTACTTTTCTAAACCTGAAGCTGAGAAGCGGAGGAAATTTCTAGGGTTTAACCAACAGAAGTTTGTGGGTTACAGCCACGTCAAAGGCAGTGCCCGACAGTTTATTCAGCTGAGGACAACGAAAGGGAAGGTGACGAAAACTGCTAAAGAAGTGCCAATTTTCGATGTGGAATTGGTGGAGGCTTATCTTGCATTGCAGAATCTTGCCTACAAGCTCTTCAAGCTTTTGTGCCATCCTCATCTAACGCCAGAGTCGCATCTCTCCCCTGAATTATACTCTTCTCTTCTCGACGCGCCTTGTACATCATTAAATGCTTTCAACGAGTGTCCGTCGGTTCCACATCATCAATTCATTGGCACCAACGTTTTTCGGATTTATCAGTATTTGCGGGAGGCGCAACCTAATGGTGTCGATTCCAAGGATCGGAGTGAAGGCCCCCAAGTTGAGGATGCGCAACCTCCCGGACTTCTTGGTGCGGCGACCACCGTTCACTCTGACATGGGCCTGCTCACAGTGAGCCCTCAATCGAATCTGCCTGGACTTACTGTGCTCAAGCACTCAGATGCAAGCCGATGGGTGAACGTGGAGATGAAGCATGGCTCGACGTGTGCAGATGGCAGCGACTTGAAGAACTACGTTTTCGTGTTCATTGGCGAAACTTTAGCGCAGTTGACGAAGGGCTCTCTACTTGCTCCCCTACATTTTGTTGATGAGCGCACCCCCACGAAGCCCCGCTTCAGTATGCCGTTCTTTCTCAGAGCTCGCCAAAAATGTGTTATCCCAGCGGTGGAGGGTTTCGGTGAAGAGATGACAGTAGAATATTTCATGTCGCAAGTGCTGCAGCAACGGAAGCAAGTGTGGGGTCACAAACCTACGACAGATTTTTGAGCCCTCCAGTGATAGTTGGGTGATACTCCACTGTGTGACAATTAAAGTGAATCATAGGATCCGTCGGCGGATATGTTCATCTAGCAGACAAGTAGGGTTGTGTGTACAAAATTTACGAATTGATCCCATTTTGTGGGTCTCTAAACATGGAGGTGTTGAACTTGTTGCTCATTCCTGCCATATTAGTGCTCCGCTGCCTTAAGTGAAGAGAGACTCATTCGGAGCTGGTTGACCTTGGCTACGTTGGAAAAGAGAACAGCGTCGGAAGCTTTGATCGCTTGGTTGTACATCGAAATTTGACATATATTCTAAATTTGAAGTGATCTTGGAGCGGCAATTAATTTGCGGACTTCAAGTCTTCGAATTTGTTAACGCTCTATGAATTCCAGCTTATCGGTAAAACTATCTTGCGGTAAAATAATTTACAGTAGTGTTCAGCTCAATCTGTTCATGTGAGAAAAATTGTTCAGCAGAGACTTGTGCAGAACTAGTTTATCGCCCAAGTGGATGCTTCTCAGTCACAGATGGCTCAGCAAGAACTATGAAATGGACTGGACTAATGCGCAGCTGATTTTTCGAATGAACAGAAATATGTGACAAGTCTGCGTGCACTATTGCTCAAACAGAGACGTCACAAGTGCCCATAGAGGAAAAGAAAATCTGCCGCGTGGCAGACAGGGGCAGGGCCCAGCCAGACAAATGAAAGTGATTGCATTCGCGGGATTTCGTTGGAGGTTGCCACCTTATCCTTGGAAGCCTCACCGCGGCGCTCACGCCACCGTCCCCTCTCACAATCCTTCTTCTTCTTACCATCGAGGCATTGCCGAGCAATCCAATCAACACCTAAGAATTTCACGTTAGAGATTTTCTAGGAAGACTCTGATCGTCGCATTTTGGTTTGCAGTAGAATTGCAAAAATGGCCGCTACCATGCTGACTATGGCCGCTGCCACTCAACTCATTGCGTCGCCGCTTTCACAAGTCTCCTTCGCCCGCGTGAACGTCCGTGGTGCCAGCCCAAGCGTCAGGTCCACCTCGGGGATGCGGATTGTTTGCATGGCAGCGCCCCAGAAATCCTCCGGCCCCGCGATCAACACCGACGACAAGGTGGTGTCGAAGATTGAGGACGCTCAGGAGATTTGCGCGGGTGATAACCAGTCGGAGGAGTGCGCTGCAGCATGGGACGAGGTGGATGCAGCTGCTAAGGAGAAGGCCAAGACTGACGATCCCTTGGACAAGTTTTGCAACGACAACCCCGAGGCTGATGAGTGCCGCGTCTACAACGACTGAGCAATCTCCTCACCCAGTTGCTTGAAAATCAAGGGAGCCCCCCCCCCCCCCCCCCCTTCCACCTCCTAGTCATCTCGTCGTTTCAATAGTTACATAGAAGCTCTACTTAACATTCCAAGTAATCTAGTTAACTCAGATATTCGTATGGAGATTCCATTTTTACTGATCGTGAAACCAATTAACGCCAACAAGTAGATACCACCAGCATCTAGCTCCTGTCTTGCTGCCTCCATTCGCGATGTCGAGAATCACGAGCCTTCGGTGAGGCAGCGTCTTGTACTCATCGTCAAACTCCAGATCAAGTGCCATTTCTCGTATTTCATTGGAATTTTCTGTCCGGCACCTACTCTAACATTACCATGTGTCTCGCAACACCCCAGGGGGAGAGGAGGTATCAGAGGCGCCGGTATTCGCAGCTCTCACAGCGGACTGCCCATACCTTGTGAAGCCTCATCACCGTGCCGTTCTCAAGCAAAGGTGACTGTAATGTAGAGATTCTACACAATTCATCTTGATCTATCACCAACGCTGGAATGTGTGCTTGTGGGTCTCGTGTGCCCCGTCGCACTGCTCCAAGCCATTGTATTACAAGTAGTCCATTTTGCGCACTAGAGCCGGACAGTTTGCAAATTGCATCACCCACTGTCTAAATAAAGTTTCCTCTTGTTTGTGAAGAATCCTTCTACTCCTGCATTGGTTCAATACTTAACAGTGGATTTTGGAATCAACACTGACTGGATTCGAGTTCTGTATGTAAACCTCAATACAACCCACCGTTGATCGACCCAGATGGGTGAAGAATCTGCACCTTCGCACAGCAGAATGTATGTTGTATCCACATATTTGTATTCTACCAATGGATTCTAGCTCTTCTATTAGAATTGTGTGGATCGTTGGCAGTTCTGGCTTCTGGAAGTATTTATTGGCTGATGTTTATCACAAATGATCTTATTGGATTATCCAGTAAGAAGAAGCTTTTGAGAATGTAGAAATTATGTCCTACCCTTCATCAGGGACTTCACAATTTCTCCATCCTGTTCCGTTCCGTTTGAGCGTAATAACTAAAGGGTTGTTAAAATGGGACTAAAAATTGAGAAAAATGGATAGAACATATTTGTCACAAGTTCGTTTATTCTGACTTCCTGTTGGAGTGCATTGTTGTTGACTCTTTTTGTATAATTCTTAAGTTAGTGGAATTGGGGATGGAAAATGAGTCGATGGTAGGCTTGAAAAATGGTGAATCTGAAAAGAAAAATCATTTTTCACTTATATTTTTGAAGCACTTGCTTTCTCTTACATACAAATAAATTGAGTGTTTTGGTTGTGTCACATATCATACCTAATGACTTTTAAAAAAAGTTGCTTTATTTTGAGGTAAAAATTGGAATTGAGAATTCTAAAAATATGTGATTTTATACTTAGTAAATTTTAAAATGGAATTTGATTCATAGTGAGTTTTAAGTAAAATATATATGTATATATATATATATAGATTTAACAATTTGAAAAGAAAATTTTTTAATTGATGATCATAATTTATTCTATACTTTAAATGTATAAGATTATAGAAACCTAATATTTGAAATGCTAGTGGAAAAAATGCAATTACATGTCTAACCTAGTACATTAATTAAAACTAAAATTTTAAAAGAATTAAAGCATCTTATTATATAAATTATAAGTTTTATATAATTATCATGCATGTTATAGAATTATAAAACTACAAAATTTGAAATGTATATTTTTTATAAAAATTAAAAATACTTTAATTCTATAAATATATATATATATATCTAATTAATTTTTTATGTTATTTTGTATTATATATATATATGCTAAATAAAATAGCTAATTATAAATATTATAGTAATTTAGAAAATACTCAAATATCTTATATTTTAAAAAAATGATAGTAAAAGATGAATATTTTAATGATATATGATGATTATTACAAATATACAAAAATAAATTAATAATTACATAGAGTAGAAGAATTAATTAGAAGTGAATAAAGATAAGTAAATATGATAATATCTTGTGAAAAAAATTCCTAAAAGATTCATAGATGCCAATTTGACTTTCTAAGTATTGGTAGGTGATTGATAGGTTGAAAACTTAATTAACAAATTAGCCACATATTGTACATATTAACCACTTGCTTTGCAAATTGGCCTCATGTTGGACAAGTTGATCATTTATTGTGCAAGTTGGCTATGTGGTGCATATATTGAAAACTTATCTTGTAAGTTAGTCTTATGTTGGATGACCTATAGAATGTTGCCATATAGCTGTTTAGTTAGATAATAGATATATATATATATATATATATATATATATATATATATATATATATATATATATAAGCAAAAATAAGCCTTCTTCATTCTTCTTAATGTTTTTTTTTTGTTCTTAGTCTTGTTTTAAGAATTTATAATCTTCTTATTTTTGGCAATAGTCATGTTAGTTTTAATAAAATAACTAACTTTGAGTGAATATCTAGTCTTCTTAATGATATAAGAATATATTGATTCTTTGGTTTTTTTGTGATTCATAACTTGATGTCATGGATGTCCATATTTATCCTAATAATTATCTGGATTATATGAATAGATAAAAGTAAGTAAAAATAGATAAATTTGATAATATCTTGTAGATTAGCTTCTTAGATGCAATTTCACTTTCATCCATGTCTATGGTTGATAGGTAGGTCAAAAACTAGGCCAACAAGTTGGCCACGTATTGCACATATTGGTAATTTATGATATAAGTTTAATATGTGTTGCATATATACTAAGATTGTTTTATAAGTTAAATACTTTTCTTGCAAATTGGACACATATTGGAGGTTTTATAAAACATCACCATGTAGCTCCTAATTAGATAATATATAGAAGTAAGAATATGGTCTTACTTCTAATCTAATTTCAAGCATCTTTGATTTTCTTGTCTTTTGGCAACAACCATTCTAGTTTTTTTTTTTAAATATAAATATTTATTTCTTTCATTTTTGTCATTTTTTTTAAAAACTATTTCACTTTTTTATTTACATTCACCAATTCTTGTCCTTGACACCTTAATCATTTGACAAGAGTGGTAGTTTTTTAATCTTATTTTGTTTTAAAATTAAATTTATTATCCCACTTTTCTTATTTTGTTTTATAGGTTGTGGATTACCCACTTTTAAACTAATATTTCTTATTTTCTAACATTAATTTTTTTTTTCTTTAAAAAAATGAGCTATTTCTCTTTGTAGAAATTTTTATTTGATATTAGAGGTTGTAGATTACTCTCTTCCAATTTAATTTAAAGATTTATTAAAATCATCTATTATAAAGAAAAAACTATAGATGCTACAATTATAAGAAGTAAAAATTAATTTGCAACTATCATAGATCTTCACAAGCTTGTTAATAGTCTTAAAAAAAATTCACACATTTGTAATTTTAATCATGGAAATATTATTTTTATGCTTACTAAAAAAAATCAACAATGAAGTCCAATGTCTATGCCAAAAAGTTGTGTAGTTGAGAGAAGCAAGTAGATCTAATTTCACAAGTGAATCCAAAAAGTCTTGCTACTATAAGTATAAAAGAAGATAAGATTAGTATGCTAAAGAAGTTTGATGGAAGAAAATCAAAATTTTGAAGATTTATACAATAAGCCAAGTTTTACTTAAAGTTATATCTTTTCCAATATAGTAGTGGATTTACTTAAGTTAAATTTATAGATGCCTTTCTATACAAAAGTATTCTCTTTTAATTTGCACCTTTGATAGAAAAGGATTCACAATTCTTTTATGATCTAAATTCATTCTTACAAGTATTTACGGCACATTGGAAGAAAGTGATAAAAAAAAGATAATAAAAATAAATTTTCTATCTTTTACAATAAGGATCAGAATCTAGGTTGCTAAATTTCAAAACTTCGCTTACAAGGTGAATTGGTATGATAAAGCCCTTAACAATTAGTTTTGATAAAACTTAAAAGATAGTATCAAAGATTTATTATTAACAATGCTAATAGCAAATACATTAAAAGAATTTATTCTTCAAGCCATTGCATGCAACAATCGACTTTTTGAAAGATGCTAAGAACAAAGACTTTTTTAAAGAAGAAAAAATCAAGTTATAATAACAATTCATAAGTTTTCAAACTGCTCATTGAGTAAAAAAAGACTCAAAGTTATCAATAAAGATTGTATTTATTTTGTTGAGAATCTAAGCATACTACTAAACATTGTCTAAAAAAGACCACAAAATGAAAAGCATGGCTATCAAAAAAGATGATGTGTCATAAAAAAATTATTTAGCTATTATAAGTATTATCATTGAATTATATGTTGCTTTATCTAAAAATGCATTAAGCACCTAGTTGTAGAAGAAAATTTGTATTTTGCACCTAACAAAGAATCTATTAATTTTAATAAAATTATTAAATAAATTATGATTAAATATTAAAAATAATAATACAAATTTAAATAAATTCTAAAGAATCTTTAAAAAAATCCTAAATAAATAATTAAACAAATTTTAAATAATATTTAAAAAATTATAAATAATATAAAAATCTCTAAATAAATCCTAAAAATCTCAATCAAATCTTAATCAAATTTTAAGTAAGATATAATAATTTTAAAAAAAATTCTAAATAAATTTAAAAAATATTAATCAAATTTTAATCTAATAATAATAAACTTTAATAAAATCCTAGCCAAATTTTAAAAAATTCTAATAAAATCCAACATATATTCTAATCAAATTCTATAGTAGTTTTAAAACTTCAATAATTATTAATTGAATTTTTGATTTTACTTCAAAAAAAATTCACATTGCAATCTATTGATAAATAATAAGTACACAAATTTTTATTTTTTAATTTGCTACAATACTCATAAAATTTTCAAATACATAAAAAAAAAAAAAATCAAAATCAAAATCAAAATCAAAATTTCAAATCATTTTAAACACATTTGACTCTGAAAAGTACTTTGAATTTTAATATTAATCTAACTTATCTAAAATAAATACCTAAATAAATCCCATCAATTCTACCATTTAATCTTATTCTTTAATCAATAAAAGAACTCTAAGATTTTCATAAGCATACAATTTTTTGCCTTAAGGTTTAGTTTCAATCTTAGTTTATAATTGATCTTTTCTAAGTATTAATTTCTAGCTTTTATAGTAATTATTGCTAGAAACTACTTTCAAATTCTTCCTAAAGATATCAATACTATTTATTTTTCTAATCTATTTAAAATAATCTTTTTTATGGTCCTAAAAAATAATAAGAAGTATTTTTATTAAAAAATATATTACCATCAATTGTATTTAGTATCTCTCTATCTTTAATATATGTCTTTGTAAAGTATAATTTTTATATATTTATCTTTCACCTTATAGCCCAATTACAATATAACAATATACACCTAGAATCTTGTATAATATCTAAAAAAGATCATATTCTTTCTTCAAAATCTTTACTTTATTTTCTAATAGATATTTTTCTTATGACCTAAAAATCATAAAGTCTTTATATTATTGGATTCAAGAGCCTTAGTTTGTTTTATAGACAATGATTTTATTACAAAAACTTTTGCTATGTAAGGGAAAATTCATAAGTTTAATACAATCCTTATTTATAAGGGCAATAGCTTTTATACCTTCTGGGAAAAAAA